TGTTTCAAAGCTATTCTTTTTGTAGAGACATCTGTTATGCATATTTTTTTAACTTACTATATGTAAAGCGCCTTTTATGGGTGCAATTTTACAAAGAAGCTATGCAAATGTTTCTCTACAAGTTCGCTAATCGCGTAATTTAATATTTTTTATTCACATAACCCAGTTTATTTTTATTTAATTTTTTTACTTGGAGTTTTGTCCATGGATCGGTCGTGGTTCTACATACAGGCCCGACAAACCGCAATATTGAATGCCACACCATACATTGACTTTTTGTGGGTGCAATAGACTTTCGAAAATTACTTGTGAATTTTAACTATTATCACTACCGCAGGTATGTTATTGTGTTTGTTGACATATTCAGCAAACAAACAATAAGTCTAATCACTAATGAAATGCAATTTTTCTAGTTCACATTTTTTCAATTTTTACACGTTCAACAATTGTTAAGCGAAATATATTGTAAAATGGCAAACTTAAGTTAAACAAATGATGCCATTCATATAAGTAATAGTTTTGCTTTACATATATATGACAGGGGAATAAAATGGTTAATATATATAAAATTTTTTATATTAAATATATTTTTATATTGATTATGTTATACAATTACCTACTTATAATAGTCCTCTTCTCCTCCTGGAGTATAGGCCTCATATTATATTATAGTTACTAGATTAGATTGTATTATATATATAATATATTAATTATATTTTGTATTAACTAAAATTATAAGTTTTCTAGATGTTTTGTAGGTTATTCGTTGTAGCATCCATTTTATAACTATCAATAGAGAGAAATATGACTTCTTGATAACCCCTTAACATTTTTAAAAGTCTGTTCGCCGTAAATATTGTACAACGTGAAGGCTTCGGATGGACCCTTACATTGCGCCATGCACCACATTTTTTAATTTTAGTTAATTTTTAAGTCCAAAAATATACATTCATTATTAGTTGTTAAATAATATAAACTTTAAAATTGTGATAAATTTAGTTGTTAGTAATTTTTTGTTAAAATAATATTACAAGATTTCAAATAGATATTGTTGCAGTAATCTCTAGCTGTATTTTGTATATCCAGATCGGTTTTAAGATAGCTTAGCACTGAGCTGTTGATAAATGGTTGTGTTTGTCAATATATTTTTAAGTACAGATTTCTGATTTTAAAGCTGAATACCTAATACCGTTTTGAGAGTATATACGGTTTTTATTTTGATTTTCTATTGAGGTAATGTGGTAACACCGTTGATTTTGAAGAATGGGCATGTTTTTTGATTAAGAATGAGTATTGTTGGGTCAGGCTTCGTCTCATTGGGCTTGATTCGCTCTTTTCTCAAACAATAAGTAATTTAATCTTGTCCCTGTTAAAGTTTAAATAAAAATAACTGCTAAATGCTTGCGTTATCAGGAAAGTTTTCAATAATAACACTATCAGCAGTTGGTATATTGCTCCATATATGTAGGTAAAAGAAAGTATGCGATATGGTTTACTGTAGTTTTATAGAAACTAAAGGGTATCATTTTTCTACTGTTTTTGCAATATCTTTTATTATGAAAATGAAAAGGAAGCATCGCAAAAATAATAGCGGTTGCGTTAATTGTTCTTTTATATAAAATTATATTATAAAAAAAATTCAAAATTTAATTCAAAATTAAAAATTTATAAATTCAGAAAAATAGTATTTTCACTCCGTCCATCCTCCTCTTTTTTATAGGATTTTTGATTCTAACTTCAATTTATATTACAATATAATTGATTCTATTCATCTTAACATCTGTATTTTTGCTAAAAATTATATAAAAATACTGAAGTAGATTACGTGACTCGCATAGAATGCAACACCTGTCTTAGTTTTTTACAGAATTGTAATGTCCGGTATATTAATGTTGTTCATATGGGTATTTTTCCTAAATATCCTAAATATTTCAAATAATACGTAATGGTTAACGTGTTAATTTTATGGTATATTTAACGTACAGAAACATTTTGGTTCCATACATTAGTCTTGTAATAACTGTAATATAAAAACTTTATAAGAAATAGTACGAGTAGTATCTACATTTGGCTTTGTTATTAGGAAAGTATTTTTCAGAAAGAAATATTGAAAAATTTAGCTTTTAATTCAAATGCTTACGCTTTAAAATTTTAAATTTAATCTATTAAAATGTTACTTTAGGTACACCCTAATGTTTTTCCGTTCGTGTCAAATTTATAACAATTTACAATTTACATAGAATATATATATGTTTTAATATAATATTGAAATAATATTAATTCTTTCAGTTCTAAAAATTATGGAAAAATAATAAATATAAATAACCATGAAAAAAGTTTTAAAGAAGTAATAGAGTTAGTTTTCTAATCTAGAGAAGATATCTGGTTCCTCTTGCTAAGTGCACTTGAATATTTTATAGTAACAATTAAAGAACCGATAGACATGAGGGTAATGATGTAAAAACCCTAAAAAGTGAAATTTTGCAAAAAATGCTAAGTATCTATCATTTCCTTAATTTATTTTTTTTTATTTAGATATATTAGGGAATCCCTTCTTATTGCACCATCAACTTCAATCTATATTACAATCAATATATTACAATCAATATTATATTTTTCATAATAGTTTAAGGTTCTTTAGTATGTTAGAAGCTTTCACATATAGAGGAATCCTGAAAGTCTTTTATTTGCGCAAGAAATACAAAAAGTATTCAAGACAAATAGAGAAAGAAATTTAAAAAAAAAATGCAAAGTATCCGTCATATCTTTTTTCATTTATTTATTTACATACATTACGGACCCCTTATTATTACTTCATATTCCAACAAACGGTAAGTACTAAAAGCTAAAAACTAAAAATTAAAAAAAAATTATAAGAATAATATTATATAAAGTTAAAAACAAATAAAGTTGGTATAATAGTTTAATACTCTTTTGTAAGTTCGAAGCTCTCACATATACAGAGATCTTGAAAGGCTTTTAGTCAAGCAAGAAATACAAAAGGTATTCAATACATATATAGAACGAGTTTCCATCTTACATCAATGACGAAGCTTCTACACTCGTAACGCCCAAAAACTGAGGTATGAGGACCAGGACGATCAATATTATAATTGTAAATTATAGATGACTGTTATTAATATAAAGTATTGTTATATTGTCTATATATAACATAATAAAATTACTCGATAATTTAATTTAAAATTAAACTTTGGCAATAATTAATTAATGAATATAAAAAAGAAATTATAGTTACCAATAATGTTATTAAAAACAATATTTGTCACTCTTGGTATTTCCCCTTAGTTCCCCAATTATAATTTCTATGTAGTTTATATAGACATGCACACGTTATATATATATTAATAAGTATTCATTGTGTTAGCAATATTAGCGGATGATTTCTGAATAAATAATATTTTACAATTTTACTGATAAGATTTATGGGATATTTTTGTCTATCTTCAAATTTTAAAAATGAAATAGGTCGCATCTTTAATGCTATTGACATATGGATTTGTTGTTAATATGTGAAATGAAAAAAAAACAATTCACAGAATTGATTTCACTGATAAATATTACAATTTTTGTTTGATTGTAAATTGTCAAAATATTCAGAAGCGAATATTGAACTTAGGGTTTTCACAATAAAGTCTTGCGAACAATAATAATAAGAATTCAAAGACTATTTTTAGAACCGCTAGGTGTATCAAAACTAACAGAACTAATAAAATCCAAAAATCACATTCAAATGCGAATGGTAAAGCCAAAATCTAGTAAATTTAGAAACGATAATATTGAAAAGTAAATGAATAATTTAATATTAGAGTTTTGAAAGATTGTTTTAGCGTCAATCGCTATAAAAGATAAGATAGTGCAGTCATAAGTCAGTAGGTGAAAAATGTAACACAGTAAGCTGACTATAATAAATTAATTAGGTCTCATCAGGAAGTATGTTGTGCTAAACCCAGTTTTTGATCCACTATTAAGCTTTTAAACTTATAGTTCTGTGAGAGTTGTCACATATTCTTTCGAGTAAGATAAACATGGTGGATTGGTTGGGTATAGTGACAGGTCAACAGATATGCTTGCACTTCCCATATTTTATAAATATTCGCTTTTTTTCACCAGTTGTAAAAAAAATTTTAAGTGATAGAAACTAATGTCAATCCCTTGAATTTATGTAATTTATAGTTACTTCTGTTATTACAAATAAATAGTCTATCAAGCTATCAAACATCTAATTTCCTTAAAACCTGTGTCTACTGGATGCAAAAGTTGGGTAATGATAGACGAAAAGCTTAATTACTTTTTTTGTTGTTAGTTTCCACAACTTCTGCAAAGAATATTAAAATGGTAGCGTAGTTCTTTGAGTGGTTTTCTATACAGAAGTGACCCGAATGGATAACATTAAATCTTGCATTATTCACGCTGTTCCTGTTAATGGGTTCGCATGATCTAATCTTTTTCTGTAAAGGTCATGTTGACCGAGAAGTTAAATATGATATAAGTGATTTCCATATGAGGTAGCTGAAGAATGTTGAGGTTAGTACTTTGCTTAAAAGTCTCCCGGGGAATACATACCGGAAGTCATAGGTACAGCTCCATAAAAACACCAATGTGCACCAGAACTTTGCGTTTTCATTCATATACACACATAAGGTAGATTGAGTATTTACTTAGCAAGAGTAGATATTAAAGATAGCTTCTTATTTTAAATTTCAGAAATTGAAGTAGAAACGTGTGTTACATTAGAATTACTACTAATGATTTAAATCATTAATATTCTTAATATTCATAGGTGACTTATGAAATCTTATTTAATTATTTCTGACATACAGAAAGAGAAGCAATAAAGAAAAAATATGATACTTTTACTCACTTCA